CCCTTTCATCGTTGTTTTTTTTTATAAGTTTATTTTTAAAGAATTAATACATTTATTTTTGGTTTTAAAAGTCACTCTAATAGGAGAAAGACCTCTCATTATTGTCAAATGACGTAGCTCTCTCAATTCTTGTACCATGCAAGATAATTTATCTACTCATATTATCTTATCTTGACATGAACATAACACACTTCATACTTGTAACATTCTTGTTAAACTATTGGTTTGACGATCAAGTAGTGTTGTTCGTTTTAATGATTATATAAGAGTTTTTGTCCTTGACTACCTTTTGTAATGACCTACAATTACACTTCTTGTAATGACATTAAAATTCAAGCAAATTCAATAATACTGTATATAAATATTTATATAATGTAAAAGACATTTGTTAGCTATTAATATTTATAAAAAAATACAATGATATGACTTATTTTTTAAAAGTTTTTTATTTACTTTTTATTTTGAGTTTTGTATAATCATATAAGTTATACTTTTTTTTTAATAAGAAAACTTACGATGCGAATGCATGCATCTCATTGCTATACAAGGTTTAATAACAAGGAATATGCCAACAAATTTTTCGTACCAAAATAATAATGTGTGCAATTTTGATGTGATTTCAAATTGTTTACAGTTAAAACAAGTTGTACCACTAGAGTTGTTGGCTTGGACTCATTTTAAGACTAGGTTGAAATTTTGACACATCTCCACAAAGTAGGTTATGGATTTGATTATGTTGAGCAATCATAATTAAAAATAAATAAATAAAAAGATGACTTATAATTTAACCTAACAAAAAATGAATAAATTTATTTAAGCATACTATAATGTCATAATTACATAAATGTTATCTTATTAAATTAAATTGATAAAATGCTTTCAAACAATTATCGCAACGAGTTAAATATATATAGCACAAATAATATATAAAATTCATGATAATTCATAAAATATCATGTATAAAAAAATAATATTTAACTAAATAATCTATCAAAATATTTAACAAAAAAAATTAAAATTCAATTTATCTCTTGACTTGTTGGATTGACAAGTTATGCAAGTTGAATTATCTAAGTCAATTCAACCCATTTTTTTTTTAACTTAAATCGATAGACTTGATAATTTCAAGTAATTTTTTACATAACTAGTTATGACAAGTGATGAGTTGAGTGTTGATTGTGTAACCATGGTGATGACCCCGAGACATATATTTTTGAAGATATGAATAATGAGTAGAGTATTGATTAGTGACTATCTTTACAAGTGTGACTAAGGATTACTAAGAATAAAAAAGGAAAACAAAAAACTTAAATATTAACTCAAACTTAATTTTGTGAATTTACAATTTGTTTATGTATAATTACTTTTCTTAATTAGTTTTTTAATATCTCCTATATTATGAGTCAACTTAAGTCTTTACGAATTAAATCTAGGTAAACTATAAACTAAATGAGTTAAACCAATTTTAAGTTAGATAGTTGATTTGTTTCAACTAACTTAAGTCAAATTCACTATAAATTGGATTAGTGACTTGATTGTGTATAAAAATCAAACTTTATTAAAAAATAATTTTCATTTTAAAATTCGTATATAGAGTTGAAATCTGATTGTACTTGAATGATGAAATTCTAAGAACACATTAATAGAGTTTAATTAAGAATAACATTGACTTATTAGTAAAGAATTCAGAGAGAAGTACCACCGACACATCTATGTACACATGGCTATAAGTTATTTGCCAATTTCTAATCGCGCGACCACACTTAAGTGAACTTCTCTTAATATATTGCTTGCTGACACTGGGCCTAAATTAAATAGTAATACACTAATACTTGTGGATCTGGCTTATGTTAAAACGTGGGCCCAGTCCACACCTAAATTTGTTCTCATTAGGCTTCTACTTCTTCCTCTTCTATTATATGGTTATATCCAATGCATTAAGATATATTTAATTTATTTTTCAACTGTTTAAAAAAATTCAACACCTTTATATTTATAATTCACTAAATATTTTATAATCCGAGTTGGAAGCGTTTTTGTGAATTGTTTTGTACACAACAGCAAGAGGCAAAGTGGTGGGGTAGCTAGCTAGCTGTGTGCGCGTCTTTCCTAATCACATGTACGTTCAGAATTGCAGATCTCACATGATGCATCATGCACCCATCTCTATTTTTTTCCCTCAAAAACTAAAAAAAAAACATTGACGATCGATCATGATTCGATACATACCATGCATTGGGGTTCACCATTAATCGTTGTGTCTACAGCACGTGATCACAAACAAACTTTATGATTAATGGGTTGACCATCCCGCTTAACTTAGATGAGAACTCAAAATTCAAAAATTCAAAAATTCAAAATTAATATAAGGGTCATTTTCGTGCTTAAAACGGTAGCTCAATTCTCATAATCTCATGAAAATTCCATAGCGAAAAAGACAGCAGTATTTAGACGTAGATAAGTACAAAGTCACTTCGCTTGACCAGATCATATTGATGCATTTGATTAAGACGCAGAAAATTGCACGAAAAATACGCAACTTAAAAAAGAATCATAAAGTTGAATCCGCTTGACTATAGTGTTCTGAACTAGTCATGGTCCATTAATGTGCCCAAAACTTGGTTTACGTTTGTGTTGCGTGGAGGACTGTGCGAACTCGCGTGAATGTATGTTTACATGTCTTCAAGAAAGAGGCACACACTACACATATCACAACAACACAAAATCTATATACATCACAACTAGAATAATAATATGTTGCGTGAACGAAACGAAGACACCTTATGTTGTGTCGTTATTTTTGGTCTCCACCGAATGTCACTGCCTTAGTGCCTTTTACTAATCACTCAACCAAGTCTTAGTCATATGTAGCATGTCTTTAGTCATATGTAGCATGTCTCTAGTTTACCTAAATAGTGATTGGAAAAATATACAAGAAAGTAAAATTTATATCAAAAGATTGTCTCATTTATGTGTTTTATGTTATTTCAAACTTGGCCCGGTATGAAATTTAGGAAATATGAAAAGTGATTAAAGGGTAGCTATAAATTGAATGAAATCAAGCTTAAAGTTTATTTCTTTGTTTGATTTTGTCGGCAGTTCTTAACTGTGTACCAACAAAACTTGGTTGGGTCCGCGTCTAATTTTTGTCACATAACTAATTGCTATTACTGAGATGATGGATTGTTTAACCTATAACTCAACCAACTTCGAAACTTTTTAAGTTGAAGTTCCGAAGATTAATTAATTGTTTTGCGTCTATAGGATTTGAAAATATTTCATTGTTTTTCAGTTCACAGAAAGGTTATAATTTCACCGTATTGAAAAGTTCATTTTGACAAAACAGGATGGTAAGCGATTGGAAACAAATTTCTTTGGTGATTTTTGTAAAAATTATGAAACTAAATACTAATTATTTCAAAAACTATTTGGGCTAAAAGTTGGGTGTGCTATTCGGCTATTCCTATTTCTATTGGAAGGACTTCCTTTCCTGAACGATAGTACTTGTAATCTACGCATGTGATGAATGAAATAAATTATTATTTTTTGTTTTACATCTTTCATTACTATCAGACTAAAATATATACCAAGCATAAACATACTAAAATATGTACGCAATTGGAAACACTTTTAATCATTATAATTATAAATGTTAATATAATAATTATTCATGTTATATTAATACGTATTTTTATTTACTTAAGACTTTTACATGGAATAAAATATACTTTTATGATTCATTGATTTTTATATATTAAATGCAAATAATTATTTTAAGTAAAGATATATTAACAGAAAAATCTTGATAATAAATATATTAAATTTCCCTAATTATGAACGAAAAACATGCTTCCAACCCATTTACTTTTAATGATAAAAAGTTAAAGATATGTTTATTTAAATTTAATAAAACATTATTTATGTAAGTTTTATTAAGAGAAAAGTAGATTATGTTTATCTTTTTTAAGTTAGGACATGACGATTATATGCTAGAGCAGTTGTGTTTTTGAGCAAATTTTTACTTGTTTTTATCATAAATGAAATGAAATCAGTAATTTTATGTAAAAAATAATACCTGTGAAATTTCTTTAATTTTTTTATTACATTTATTTTAAAGCTGTCACTCTTAATTAATATAATTAATTTTTATTATCCTATAACAATTTTTTTACATGAATTTTGTAGAAAAAGTTATGCCATTTATTATATTTATTTTAAAACCTTCCATAATTAATAACTAATGTAATTATTATTTTATTATGTCGTTACGATTTTTATATTAAGATATGGCAAATATTTACACACGTAATTTATTTTTTTTGCTTTATATAGTTACAATTTTTTTTAAAACCCTCCCAGAATTAATAAAATTAATAATTCATTATGTTGTTTCAATTTATATATTAATATTAAGATGCTGCAAATGTGTTCTCTTTATAGACATTGATAGATTATTACTGATAAACGTATATTTTCTATATTAGGATTATTTGATGTAATAAAATATTTAATTTTCTAATTATTCATCATCAATATATTTTCATAATTAATAAAAAAATTACCCCCAAAATAAACCCTAGAATAGTAGAACAGTGAAATCGCGATTGGTGAGTTAAAAAGTGCCGATCCATGTGTCTCAAATTTTCAATCCCAGAGACTAAACTGATTCAAGTGGTTGAGAGGAGTTGTTTATGGAGCTAAGCGTGTGTTTGCTTCCGATTTTGAAACGTGAAAATTCACGTTTACATGAAACAACAAATTCAAACTTCCACGTAAATTTGATTGTAAACGTGAAAAGAGAAAGAAAAATCACGTTCATAAATCAAAACTAAACACACACTAAATGTAACAGTTTTGAATAAATTATGTAATAAAAGTTAATATAATAAATTAAAGGTCCAGTAGTAGTTGTTAAAATAAAACTATACGTTGATACGAAGTTAAGACTTAAAAGACAGTGTGTGAAAGTGAAAGTGAAAGTTGTGTCCGGTTTTGGCACTTAATCAAACCTTAAGATCCGAAACGCGCAGGCTGTAATTAAAACCCGAAAAAGCCCGGCAAACACTGTTTCACTCTTCCTCTTCTTCCTTCCTATAAACAACCTCTTCACTTTTCTCCATTCTTCACACACCGCCACCTTCTTCTGCAGCACCAGACCCACAATGGGCAACCTCTTCTGCCTTCGCATTGTTGCAGCACTTGTTTTTAGCTTCTGGGTTGATGCCTTTTCAGCCTACCATTATCACCACTTCAATGTAACCGACTTCTCTTTAATGGAGCCTCAAGAGCAAGCTTCCTCCTCCCTCTTTGCCAGGACTCCTCTCATGGTGGCTCTCACCCTTATTCAAGCTGCTGCTGCCAAAGGAGCAGGTACACTCTAACTCTAACCTCATTCTTTTTTTCATTTCATCAGAGTTTCGGAAATACAGTTCATTGGCTCTTTTCATTCTTGTTTCACTAAGATCCAATGTTATTTTAGAATGTGGTTTATGTAATAAACATGGTGTCATATGGTTGACAAATGACAAATAATCCTGCCCCTTAAACATGTGGTCAAGGCTTCATTCAGGTCGACGCGTATATAATTAAATAGATCTTAGTACTTCTGGTGATTAATCTTTCACTTTTTCCTAGGGGGTTCACCCAAAATAATTTGCTTTATGTTTATCTCATTAAAAATTGCTTAATGGTCTTGTTGCATGCAATGCGCATGTGGCCTAGGCTATCATGCTATGTTGGCCTTGTTTAGGCCAATTAATTGTTAGTTGACTAAAAAAAGATGAAGGCATGTTCTCATAGACTAAACTCTAAAGCACCTGTTGAGCCTTATTTTTGGGCTAAACTAAGAATTTGTAGCCATTTAATTTAGCTAAATAATTTTTTTTTTATTCGTTGTGGCAGTTTGCTTAGATGGAACATTGCCTGGCTATCATTTGCATCGAGGGTATGGATCAGGAGCAAACAGCTGGCTTGTTAATTTAGAGGTACCACATGAATATGTTCTTTCAAATTGATCTGTAGCATGTGCTTCTTTTTATTTCTCCTTAATACATTTAGATTTGTGTACCGAAATAGTATCCCATGGCATGCAACTTTAATTGTATAAAGGTTGATGAGTAAGCATTTCCTGTGAAACTATAGTGTTAATTGATTTTTATCGCGTGTGTGAAATGATAATGATTGAAAAATATTCAGATAAATAATTTGGGATCTATACATGTCATGAACGGCTGTTTTCATGTGTTGATGGAACTACTTCTCATTTGTGCTATAAAAATTTCTGTTGGAATTTAAGTGAAATCCTGTGACAGGGAGGTGGGTGGTGTAATGACGTTAGAACGTGTGTTTATCGCAAGAAAACACGGCGTGGGTCATCAACATTCATGGAAAAACAGATACCTTTCACGGGAATATTAAGCAATAATGCTGAAGATAATCCAGGTTTTCATTCAATTAAACTACCCGAACTACTCTGTTTATGCTTTCTCCATCTCCATTCCCCTTTCCCTCATGTTTTCTTTACTGTTGCAGATTTTTTCAACTGGAACAGAGTGAAAATTCGTTATTGTGATGGTGCCTCTTTTGCTGGGGATGCTGAAGATAAGGTAGATTTTGATGTCTTAGGCTTATTGAAAATTAATATGATGATTAATTCTTGTGGAGGCTGACAAGAAGGTGAAATAACTGAAAAGAGACGTGGTTATCAGTGTAATATCTGCAATAACATTCTTTACAGTATATAGATTTGATAACAATAAAGCAGAATTTGCCAGATAACTCTGCTTAACTCACTAATTTCCCAGCTCCATTCTTTTTCAAAAACATTGAATTTTGACGTGTTTCAAGGTCTTATTTTCCTTTTGTTCTACTGTATAATTAACTTAATGAACTTCCGGTTTCCGACTTTCTTCATTCAATTTTTATAACTGTAACATCTCCTGTTAATGTTAACTATGGATACATTTATTTTTTGGATACTAGTTAGGCGTAGATAATCACAATTTTATCATTAAAACTCTATTGAGGCATGAGAATTGAGCTAGAGAATATAACACGCCGTTGATGACACATTGACACTTCACGCACTTAACATTAAACTGGACAACTCTTACTTGAGAATATCATCTGTTGAAACAGGCTGCGCAACTGCAATTTAGAGGACAACGTATTTGGTTGGCTGCAATTGATGATTTGATATCAAAGGGAATGCGTTTTGCGAAGCAGGTAGTACACATACACACGCACACATACATTGTTACATAAATAATCTTTCTTCTCACGTTAGATACTACTATTTTTGCTTTAGGCTCTTCTTTCTGGATGCTCTGCTGGTGGTCTAGCTACTATTATACACTGTGATGAATTCCGAGGTTTTTTCCCACAGACTACCAAAGTGAAGTGTCTCAGTGATGCTGGGTTATTTCTTGATTCGTATGTGGCTGACTGCTGTATTTTATTCCATGAATGCCATTTCCATCATTACCACAGGATTTCTAGTCCTTCAATTATTTGTTAATTTTTTCTTCCTGAATTACAGGATGGATGTGTCTAGGGGACGTACCCTAAGGAATTTTTTCAGTGGTGTTGTAGGGATGCAGGTACCGCAGCTTTTTTGATGCCAACAATTTATTTATTGTAGTATTAAAGCAAAACGTATTATAAGTTATAACAATTCCTATTTCATGGTCATCTTGACAAGTGACTATTAGTATTTCTGTATTTGGTTCAACTATTTCAAATAACTGAATAAGCTGATGTGAATAAAATGTCAATTTTACTTAAACTCAATTTTGGATACATGCTGTTCTGGTCATACATCTTTCACAAGGTTTTTTACCGAACCTGAGCAGGAACTGATATTTTTTACAATTAAATTGAATTTTGAAAACCTTTGTTTAATGTGAGATAAGGATCTGCTACATCAACATGCCAATAGTTTGTATAGCTTGGAACTTGGTCATTTGGACATTATTAAAACTCTTACTGCACGATGGTAAATATTTTGTCCATTCATTGCAGGGAGTGCAGAAGAATCTTCCGCGCTTTTGTACTAATCACCTTGATGCCACTTCGGTAATCATTGATATCTTTTATTCTGAAAATTTTGAAAAATGAGTTTCATTTGAATGAATGTGCGGATATTTTGAAAAATGAGTTAGCCTTTAGTAATGTATTTTTTACCCATTTTTCAGTGTTTCTTCCCTCAGAACTTGATTGCCGGTATTAGAACCCCGCTATTCATTCTTAATACTGCCTATGATTCATGGCAGGTAAATATCTGATCTTGTCACCTGGTTGTCGAACTCCGAATAAATCTTGCATTAAATCAATTGTAGACATATTATACTAAACAAAATTTTCTGTTTATCATCAGATCCAATCAAGCTTAGCTCCTTCATCCGCAGATCCCCATGGCTTTTGGCATGATTGTAGATTAAATCATGCTAAATGTACTACTTCACAAATCCAATTTTTGCAAGGTGGGTTGACTAATGAGAAATAGCTTTCATCAGAAGTACAAAAATGTCTTCAACAATTAGTCAGTGTAACAAGTCATTTCCCTGTATCTAATGCAGGATTCAGGAATCAAATGCTGAATGCTATTAGAGGCTTCTCAAGATCACGTCAGAATGGATTGTTCATAAATTCATGTTTTGCTCACTGCCAATCTGAGAGGCAGGATACATGGTTTGCTGACAATTCTCCTGTCCTTGGAAACAAGGTGGGTGCCGCATGTCTCTAATGCCGTTTTAGTTTAGAATATTATATTAGATTGAGCTTTGTTAAAATTAATAATGATATGATTTTTGCTAAAGAATATTCACCTTGACAAATCATAAATGCATGCTTTGTCTATTGGCCATATATGCTTTGCTTATGGAATCTGCTTTTTAATTGTGTTTGCTTGCCAATATTTCAACCTCGTTGCTTTGAAGTAGAATAGGCTAGTTAGATTTAGATATAAAAAATGCTTGTTTTTTTAAGTACTTTTGTTTCCTTTATTTATTCTTGTTCCTCTCCAATGGATCATAGACATTGTTGTTTAAAAGTTAAAACAATGCCAATATTCCGTTTCATGATATATACTGATTCAGAAAGGAAAAAAACGAAAGAATAAGAAAGGTAAAGCCTTGCACCACATAGTTGTGCAACTCAAACATCAAAATGTATAATAACATAGTACGTTATCCTGTGTTGATTCTATCATATATTCATCTTCCATGTCACTGATATTTCAGACCTAATAACAACACTGTCTTTGATATCTGAGGCTGGTATCTGTAATTTTCTTATGCTTCCCTTTTAAATTTTAAGATTTTGCTGTCTAACTCTAACCTATATGCAGGCAATTGCTCTGGCTGTTGGAGACTGGTATTTCGACCGGGCAGTTGTTAAGGCCATTGATTGTCCTTACCCTTGTGACAATACATGTCACCATCTTGTCTTCAGATGAGCTGAATTTCATCAATAGTCACAATTTCCCTCATCTCATTCATTTGGGTCTGTTATTACATGCGATTCGGAAACATGCTATTCAATTAGGAGGAATGCTAGTAATGCTGACACATTTTTTTTAACATATTTTATTATTAGGTGAAATTCATGCAAGACTTACTAAATTATGCAGGTCTTATCCCATCTTTGTTGGGACTATGAAATTCACCAAATAATAGTGTGTTAAGAAGAATACGTTAGAAAGTGAGCATTTCTTGTTTAGTTTATTATCAAAGACAATAAAAGAAAGTGGTTGCTTGAAGCGGAAATGTAATAAGCCTTTTCCATTATTTAGTATTTGATGGGGGTAGTTTTCATGTATAGGATAATTACTTGGGAATGCTAAGGCAAATGCCTTTAGTTTTGTTACAAAGATTGGGAGAGGCAAGGGACTGTTAGAATGAATACTATATACTGTATTAGTGTAAGCATTGGAATTGGTTAGAATGAGATAATCTCAATCTCATATTTGATATTTTTTCCTATCAGTTTGGAATGAAAAGTTGGTCATTATTTACACCCCGGTGGGTTCAGATGGTTCTTATATATTCTGGACTTATTAAACTGCGTTTCAATATTTGTAGATAGATTGATTGAGGATTAACTTCATAAATTCATTAAATTTATTTTGATTGTCGCTGCTATTGATGTATCGTATGCTGTGAATTTATCTGATGTAGCATTAATTATAATTTAATACAAGTTATTTATAGTATATTAAATTTGAAACGCAGAATGACATATATGATCATTTTTTTTTCTTCATATCAACAATTTTTTTTGTCATGTTAAATTTTTAAATATCATTTTATCTTTCAGTTTTAATTTCTATTATCATGCTTTCAGTACAAACAACTCAAATAGTAATATTCTCTAACTCCTTAGCAGTTCATTGTTTTGTTGTCTTGGTTTTGACTGCTTTTCACAATTTTAATATTGAGGACTATAGGAATGATTTTTATTTATTATTTTTTTATGTTATTTCATTTTCCTCTTCGTTCTGCAATTATCAATGTCATAGTCATGAGCCATACGAGGTGATGATTGCTTTAAAGATAAACATGCAAAATGGCCTTAATAAATTGTAACTAATGGCACATAGAAATAGTGATGGACCCTGATAAAATACTTCGAGGAACTCGGAATTACTAAATGATATACTCAAAATTACTGATAGAGTGATAGTGTTTATAACTAAAAAATTACTTATACCTATTTGGTTTTTCGTTGGACCCCTCCAACGTGTCTTCATCACCGCATGCAAACATGGTTTGTAAGCAATTTTAGGTTATGGATTATGAAACATAGAACGAGTGTCAGCAAAATAGATTAGATTAATTTTGAACACAAGTCATTCAATCCAGTTGAGTTTTAATTTGGACTATTTTTTTAAAGGGATTAATTACCCTTAAAATACACAAAAAATATAATAAGGGTTAATTCAAATGGTCAAATATCTAATTGCATAAGTTAGTTACTGCAAAACCGATATAGTCTCATTTTAAATGAAACCTATTAAAATAAAGTTACACAATATTAAATTTAACATTTTAAAATTAAGAATTTAAAAATAATCATATTATTATTTTATAAATATTTACTTGTCCTTGATAATGGTCCACTCTAATTAATAATGAAAAAATAAATAAACATGGAATTGAAAGCATGATGAGATAGCATTGGTTGTTGGGAAGGACACAGCTACTGAAAGCTTGCCAAATCATTCATCAATAGTGATTTGTATAAAATACTACTGAGGAGGAATCTGTGAATGTTAAGGAATGGTTCTTTCAACTGACTTGGCCTCTGAAGGAAGATTTACTAAGAAAACATAAGCCAAAATTGATAGATTTGAAGATACATGCATGCACAATTGGATAAGGTAGCGATGAGTATGAATGAACTTAGTTGGAACCAGTTGGATATATTGATTTGCTGTTTATAAGAGGTGATGAGCATTGATGGGATTGCTTGTCGTTTAACTATCACTTTCTTTTTTAAAGCTTTGGCGTTTTCAAACTTCATTTACCACCTTGAGGAGACAACAAGGGAGTATCAATTTTTCTTTTGCTTGTCTACAGTCTACACTATATTATTTTAGTATCTCAAAGTTTTGAGTCTAGAGGTGACATTTCTGCTGAGGTTTTTTTTTTTGTGGAATATTTAAATAATAGATTAGCTATGGATTATTAAATAATATTAATTATAAAAATTAATATTATATTTTACATAAGCACTTATAATAGTAAAAAAAAAGGAAAAAATATTTTTTTTCATAAGATAAAACTAATTTCTCTATATATTAAAAATCATCCTTTAAATAATTTAATATTAGAGACTTTCTATCATTTATTTTATGTATAAGTTATTTTTAACTTTTTTAAAAAAATAATTATTTATTTATTTTCTTCTCATATAACTATTTATGAAAAATTTATCTAAAAAATTGCTTATAAATAAAAAAGATTATAATGACGATGATAAGTTTTTTGAATCTATGACTTTATATATTTTATCCCAACCTCTCACTAGGTTAATTAAAATAATTAAAAACCATACCTTTACTAGATTCTTTTATGTCAATTAAATAAATTTATGAGTTTGTTAAAATGATGGATATTACTTGTTAATAAAACTCTAAAATCTTATTGACCTTACTTTTTAGTGTAATACCAAATAGGTGGTTTTTAAAGTATTAAAGCTTGTACAAGTTGGTTTTTGTACAAAGCTAACACTAAAATTAGGCATGGCAGGTTTCCCTCTTTGGGTTGGGGGGAATGGTTTTCCTTCTTGAAAATATATAGGCAGATGATAAACACACCTCTACCCTCGTATAAGTACACCCCCTTTTTTAAAAAAAATATATAAAATGTCTAAATTACCCTTAAAAAAAATAAAATTCCTAAATTTACACCCTCTTCCCCACACTCCCGGTACCCCACACCCCCCTTCCCCCTGCCTGTGTTATCATATGAATGCTTCTCATGTTTTCTCATCTTTTTTTACTAATTAAGTATACTGGAAGAATCCTAGACCATGAATTCATTATCTTTGTTTCCTTATATGTGTGTCCCCTGCCTGTGTTATCATATGAATGCTTCTCATGTTTTTTCATCTTTTTTACTAATTAAGTCTACCGAAAGAATCCTAGACCATGAATTCATTATCTTTGTTTTCTTATATGTTTGTCCCCTGCATGTGTTATCGTATATGAAGGTTTCTCATGTTTTCTCATCTTTTTTTTTTCACTAACTAAGTCTACCGGAAGAATTCTAGATCATGAATTCATTATCTTTGTTTTCTTATATGTTTGCCTTTGCTGCATATATGGAATTTACTTTCTCACATCCATGTTGTGTTTACACCATGAAGAAGAATGCTTTATTTGTTAAGATGCATTTTTTGTTCAGTTGTCCACATCTAATATTTAAAATTTAGATGATTGCAAAGGGATCTTTGCCCTGTTGCGAACCTCAGTAGAACTGTGGACATTAAGATAGTAAGATTTACAGTGTTCTAATGTATAGCCTTGTATTTGCAGGAAGATGCCCAGTACATGATTTACACACCATCTGATCCACTTCAAGCAGGGGGTGTGTGGGGTGTTGGGGTGCGGGGAAGGGGGGTGCGGGAAGGGGGGTGCAGGGAAGGAGTTGTAAATTTAGGAATTTTTTTAAGGGTAATTTAGACATTTTATATATATTTTTTTAAAAAAGGGGGTGTGCTTATACGAGGGTAGAGGTGTGTTTATCATCTGCCAAATATATATTCTCTGAGGCCGTGTGAGTCCATTGGGTTAGGTTAGTTGACTTGGGCCTCTACCTCGTTAGTATTTGCGTGAAGTTCATGATATATATACCTTTTATAAGTACATCTCCTTTTTAGAAAAAATAATTAAAATTTTAAAATATTTTTAATTTTTTTAATTTTTTGTTTTTAATTTTTAATTTTACATATACAATATTTAATTTAGTAGTTTTTTTCACACATCTTCCCTCCTTTTTTTAATTTTTACATGCACCCCTTACCTTTCCTTCACCACACCTATTTTGGTAGCATGTGAAAATTAAAAGAGAAAAAAAAATGTGTGAAAAAAAAGAAGAAAATAGAAAATTAAAAATTGGAGGTGTAAAATTAAAAAATTAAAAAAAAAACTACAATATTTTATAATTTTTTTAAAATAAAGGAGGTGTACTTATAAAAAAAAAAAAAGAGGTGTATATATCATGAGGCTTTGCGTGATCATCAACACCACCCCAACAATAGAAAATAAAAAAATTCCTTCTAGAGAAAAAAAATAAATATTTTTTTTTATTTAAAAGGTTAGAAAATATAATCGTTAAGAAAATAAATTTTAGTCAATTATATATAAGCGCACCAGGTATTAGGCTTCAGTTCAAGTTAGTCATGACCATTTTGTTTTTCTTCTAATAAGAACCATTAATATTTTTTATGATTTCATGCTCGACTTGATATTGGGCCAGAAACTTGAATTAAGACTAGTATAAGCAATTTTAAATGACAAAAAACTGAAAATAAAAAAATATGAATTTTAGAAACGTATAATTTGAAACATAAGATAAGTACAAAAATCATTTTTACAGGGAAAATGATTCACAAAAGAAATTAACATTATATTATATTCCTTTTTAAAAGTGATGGAAATCATTGCCAATATAGATCACCAAAAGTCCAAAACTATAGTTCTTGAAGGGAGTCAACTCTGACAGTGCCATGATTTTGCAGCCTTCAACATCAGTAGACTGTTCAATAATGACAATAATGACCATGGCTTCCAAGTGTATCAATTTTGAATGAAAATGGTAATGTGAAAATAATTAATCTTGCGTTCCTTTCTTCATAATTCACATAATCTTCTGTATGTTTAAAATACTGCTTTTAAGATTTTTTTTTAATCTATCATTTTTATATTTATTTTAAACTAAAATTTTAATATATTTAAAAAATCATCAAAAGTAAAAAAATCCTAAAATATAATTTATACCTTCATATATATATATATATTATTTATTATGAATTTAATTATTTAAAAAATATATTTATTTTATGTATTGTATGAAATAAAACATTAATTCTATATTTAATTCAGGAGAAGGAATAAAGAAAATGAGGGGAGAAATTTTTTTATTAAGCGATATATTTTTTTGTTTAGTTGAAGAAAAAAAAGAAACGAAAAGCTGACTTTAACATATAAAATTTCAAAAAAAAAAAAACCCTCGTTTCCTCTCCACTAAAACAAACAAATAGAGGAGAAATTAGCATTTGATAAAGGAATTAAAAAAAAAGAAAAAGATTATATCATGTAGTTGATGCATTTTAAAATTAAAAAAATAGATATTGTTTGTTCATTCTGTTGTTCATTCTCCTTCACTTTCTTAAAACTATTCACAAAATTATCTGTCACCCAGAACAAGTCTATCTGAATGAGGCAATATTATATAGCTTCATCAACACCGTCATTATCAGTTCAATCATTATGATCATAATCAACAATTTGTTTATTAGCTTCTTGTCCTTCCCTTTTTATTAATTGTTTGAACAGTACACAAGATGCATATAAATATATTTTGCCCCTCACTCAATTATACGAGTGCAAATAATTTAAAACTAAAAAAACTTTATGAAGCTTGTTTAACTAGTACATTAATATTTTACAGGGGATCAAACTTGGGATTGCATAGCCACCACCCCATTATCCTCCTCAGGATTTTTGTTCTGTTCCTGTGCACTGATGATTGTAGGGCCCCAGCAAATAGACCCAATAATTTGTTTCACATGCATGGTGATTGTAAACGTACCATCACTATCGCCCGCAAATTAAAGAAATAAAGCTTGGAAATATTTAATGACTCAAAAGACTTATTGTATATGTGTGCACATGGACAATCAACGGGGCTGCGAGTATATATTGTCCTAATGTATGAATAAGCAAATCTTAATATTTCAAAGATATTCCATTTTCCGCTATAATAGGGACATATCTGCTTAATATGACGTACCAATCGTTTTCTTCTTATTGCCAAGATAACTTGTAAAATTTTAAGCTGTTTGACTTGAGCTTCTTTGTCGATTCCAATTACCAAATGAAAAACACTGACCCTACAATAATTTTTTCCTCTCAAACTAGTTTTCTTCCTGCAGCAAAGTCAAAGGGTAAATATAATATAAACTCTGTTTGTTTCTATGGCTTTCTGTGTATACTTAATGCTCTAGTTACTTGGTTTCCCACTTGTTGCTATCATCAACTTTTTTCATTTGTTTATTTAATGAAAATTTTATGACTTCAAAGGTCTGGTGCAGCCACTCAATTGATAATAAACGTTGAATGAATTTATAGAGCTTTTTGGGTACTCGAAAATTCCAATAAAAAAATGTACCGATCTTATTGATAGATAATTTATAAGTATTACTGTGAATACTAAGCCTTGAAATGTACTCGACTTTGATAAATTTTCAAATTTCAATTTACCTTAATTTTTAATCACGAAAATAGAGATTAATTTCTCAAGTGATATTGATCTATTTATGGTGTTAATTTTTGTGTATATACAGAAATTTGAGAATTGATCTTGTGAACATATCTTTAAGTAATCAGTGTGTTGGCACAGGCGATTGATAGCAGCTTTGTATGGATGAAAACTGTTTCACTAATTTGAAGGAAATAAAAATGAATTGGTTGTATGGTGGGGGATGCTTCATGAGAACAAGTTCTACGTGAAGGATGCTTGCTTTCTTTCGTTTTCATATTGTTTCTCTCGGTCATTTCTGTCATGTCTATGAAGTGAACATCCCATCCTTTTAATTTAATTTTTATTTTTTATCTTGCTACTTTCACTTTCAGCATCAGTACATGTTGATGCCCACTGAGGGACCCATTATCTGGTGCGAAGCTTTTAGAGGCATAGGCCCACGCTAAGGACATTCACACATAATCCTTTTGTTATAAATTAGTACAAATCGTGTCACTTCCCAATACATTACAATAATAATAAAATAAATATCCTCTTCTCTAATCTAACACTGCATTATGCATTTCCTTTCCCTTTTTTAATTCTTGACTGTGTCCGTACGAAAATGTTAACCCAAGAAAGGTGCTAAATATGTTCTTTTTGTGGCCTTGAGTTTCCTAACCAGTCGGTGGTGAGGCAGAGAAATCGCTGTGTGGTTTTTGCCTCTGTGCCTACAACTGTTGAGTTGGTAATCAAATCTATCCATCCATGTCTCTGTGGTGTGTAGTGTGTACAACTGGATGACCCTTTTGAAATTGGTAAATCAAAGGAAGACAAGTACTTCATACTTTCTTGTCTTGAGCCATTAAGAGGGGAAGGGAAGTTTGCTCAGGTTTTTCAAAAAGTGAAAACAATCTCCATCTGTAGGAGACAGTGACAGACACCCATTTAAGAAATAGGGTCCCTGGTGCTTTCATAGTGAGAGAAAAAAAAAAAAAAAAAAAGAGATGCAAGTTCAATGGATTCTCAATTGAAAAGGATCAAGTGAAAAGCTGACTGTGTAAAAAGAGAGAGAGAACAAATCCCGGACATCTAAAAGATATTAGGATTTGAAACTATTCAGTCACACGCACGTTCCATGAACTAATGCAATTTAAACTGTTCAACTCTAGGTACAAAATAACAAACAAAACCCTTGTTGAAACTTGAATCAAGGTAGAAAAATATAAACAATGCTGTCAATTGTATACACACGGAAAAACTCACAAGCTACACATTTCGGGACAAGCCTTATTCAGCAGTAGTGCCACTATGTTTGATTAACAAAATGGTGGGAATAAGGACCTGGAATTTATCACAAATATTACACTTACACTGTAACATAATATACAATATGGAAAGGAAGTTTTTTACAGCACACACATGTGGTCAGAACTCACAAGAGAAAATTCTGACCTGGTTCATAATGGAAATTAAGTCGGCAACATCTTTGTCTCTTTCGTTGAGTTGAAGTTTCCACATATTACGTACACAGGCTACAGGGTTTGTCCAAACGTCACTGAAAATCTCTGCAGATCTTTGCTATATATATCAGATAGTTGAAAAGCTGGTGTCTGTTGCTGACTATGGTGCCAATTAGTACATGACTCGTCTGTTATGAATCCTGTTTCTGGTTTAACCTCACTGTAGATAGATTGAGAGGTTTGATTCTGTGCTGTGTTTCCCAGAATGAATGGGGTGTTGAGATACTCAGACCATTTTAGATCTTCTTGTTCTGCTTGTAGGGGCACCTGAGAGTCTTTGTTAACCTTCATAGACTCTGCCACCCCCCACGTGTTGTCAAGGAAGTTTGTGTTTGTGCTGCTTTGTAACTGAATGTTTTTGTTGGTGTTGTTGCCGTTACTGAAGCTGCCAGCTTCCCAGTTTTGAACCCCATCAGAGGATATGGAAGGGTTGGTGTTAGATTGGAGACTAACAGAAGGCTTGACATGTGTAGGGGAAATTGAGTGGAGC